TATATATATATATATTATATATATAAAGATAAATATATATGTATAAAGTTAATATATACAAAGATATCTCTATAAAGGCTGCTGCATAACAGCAGCAACAGTTGCTGCAAATTAGCAGCAGAAACGAATCAGCTGCAGCAGCAGCAGCTGCTGCTGCTGCAGCTGCTGCAGCAGCAGCAGCTGCTGCTGCTGCATCACAGAGAAACAAGAGGTGGGGGGGCCCCAAGGAGACGGGTGGTGTTTTCGGTGTTTGCTGCTGCATGCAGCAGAGGAGACTGCTGCAGCACAGAGAGCAACCCCATGGGCAGCTGCTGCTGCTGCTGCTGCTGCTGCTGCTGCTGCTGCTGCAGTTGTTGGCGCAGTTGCTGCAACTGCTGCTGCAGCTGCTGCGGTTGCTGCAGCTGCTGAAGCTGCTGCAGCTGGTAGAATTGCTGCAGCTGCTGCAGCTGATCCAGTTGCTGCAGCTGATGCGGCTGCTGCAGCTGCTGCTGCTGCTGCTGCAGTGGAGCTGCCGTTGGTAGGGGCCCAGCCTCAGCTAGCCTCCTCCTAGCTGGTGGGGTGTTACTTGTATCTGCTGCTGCTGCTGCTGCTGCTGCTGCTGCTGCTAGCTGCTGCTGCTGCATTGCCTCTTCTTCTGCTGCTGCTGGTGCTGTTGCCGCTGCTGCTGTTTCTGCTGCTGTTGCTGTTGGTGTTGCTGCAGCTGCTGCTGCAGCTGCTGCTGCAGCTGCTGCTGCTGCTGCAGCAGGCTTGTCTGTGTCTGCTGCATGCAGCGCCTCACTCAGCCCCGCATGCGGAGACGGCGTGGGATCGTCTCCACCCCACAACTCCCACTCTGCCAGCCGCAGCCCCGTTAGCTCATCTTCAAACAAAACTGCTGCTGCAGCGCAGCAGCAGCAGCAACAGCAGCAACAGCAGCAGCAGCAGCAGCAGCAGCAAGACAAACAGCAGCACATTAGACAACAACACAAACGACAGCAAAATCAATCAAGACGAGACATATATATATATATATA